TTCTTTTTTCATTGTCAATCATAATTATGTGCAGTAGAATAATTTTTGTGATTTATCTCATCACACCTTATTAAAAAAAAAGAACATCACTTTTTTGCTTACAATTTCCTCTCGAATTTTGTTAATTTGAATCAACGAGACGTGAATAATGGACTTCCTTCCTTGTTTCAACTTATCTTGAGATAAAATACATTATAAAAAAAAGAATATATTTTCTGAATCAAAGAAAAATGAAAAGTAATGAATAAAGTTAAACAAGTTCGATGTTCCTCTTAAACAAACTAATTGAATTTTACTTTTACCTGGAGAAAACAAGGTCATATGTAAACACTGTTTGATTTAACTGTTTGAATCTTTTCTTTAGATTATGCAAAAAAAAAACTTCCATATCAAGATTGAATAGATAAGTAATCACCCATGTGAACTACTTTTACTTTGTGAATAAACAAAAGATTATTGTCATCATTATTTTTTTCTTATTTACATCACTTCCTTTCTATCTCACTCTTGTTATAATATTTTCGTAGTATTATTCACATATATTTCATGTAAACGAAGAAGACTGAAAATAGTGACGGAATTTTCCAAACGTATAATTATCCTAGTTATTTTTCTTAATTGATACTAATGCAAATCTTTCAAGTTAAATCAATCAATATCGTATGTATATAAACAATATCGACTGATCATCATCAAAGAGAAATCAACCCAATAATACAAAATAACGGTTCAGTCCCATTTGGTCGACAGGTCCTTAATTGGTCCCTTTTCGTCGACAGAGTTTTTTTTCCCGTTTTGTCGACAAAAAAAAATTCCCTGTTCGTCGACAGAAATTTTTTTCCTGTTTCGTCGACAGAAATTTTTTTCCTGTTTAGTCGACAGAAATTGTTTTCCTGTTTGGTCGACAGAAATTTTCTTCCTGTTTCGTCGACAACTTTTCCTCTCTTTGATATAGCGCATTTTAATAATTAATAGATTGGTCGACTAGTTAAGAGACAGATGATAAAGAATCACAAGAATCATCGTACAATTTTGATATTCGATCTAGGTACCGAAATACTGCACTTCTTTTATTTTTTGTATGACATCAGATGCAAAAAAATAGTACAAAAAATTATGATATTTTTCTTACTGGTGTCAAATTTTCATGTATCTATTCTTTTAAATGTGTTATAAACAATTTTTGTTGGACTTTTTGATTCTTTGGCTCATGATTGTGTTGAGTAGTTGCAACAAAAATTCGATCACCTTTTTGAGTAAAACGTCCTGGATATTTATTTCGATTCTTGCAATGCCATTAAGCATCGACATTACGAATACGATCACGTAAGTATCGATAGCCATTGAAAATTAAACATTCTTTACCTTTTCGAGTTTCAATTATTGTATATATTTTAATTCAAATATGTGGAATATTAGTAGAGATAGAAACAAAGAATATCCAAGTTATTGTGGTGGTTTGTTTTTTTTCATCATGATTCATTCACTTTATGTAATCGATATGATCTTCTCTAATAAAAGTTAATCATACTAGTCTTACTGATGTATCGTTATTCGATTACATCGATTATATTGTCACCTATAAAACACTAATAGTGATCTATATTTAAAATAACCTTCCACCTTTCAAAATAAGTGAATACTCGTTATGCAAGTGACTAGACTACCCTTAACTAGTCGACCAAATTATTAATTATTAAAATGCGGTGTATCAAAGAGAGGAAAAGTTGTCGACTAAACAGGAAGAAATTTTCTGTCGACCAAACGGGAAGAAAATTTTTGTCGACCAAACAGGATGAAAAATTCTGTCGACCAAACAGGACAAAAATTTTTGTCGACAAAACAGGAAGAAAATTTCTGTCGACGAAATAGGAAAAAAATTCTGTCGACGAAAAGGGACCAATTAAGGACCTGTCGACCAAACGGGAGGATACCAAAATAACTGTATCTATTATTTAATATACTAAATGACGAGAAAATAGTAAAAACGAATATAATTAGACAATTATTCGAATTAGAAAAAATAAGGATTTAGAATAAACATCGTTCTACTTCATGTCAAAAATTTGTTATTGAATGAACAATTAGTATAGACATCAATTAATTATGTCACAAATTTGCTTGTAATCTGAAATCAATAATCAGATGATGTCGTCTTTATGATTAAATTGGAAAGAAGAACGCTTTGTTGCTATTGATTTGATAAATGAAAATTCAAAAAAGTTCGCATAACAAAGATGCCTAATTGTCACCAGTTGTGAGGTGCAAAACCCACGTAAGATATTTTAACGAAAAATCGGAATCAAAATTGATTATTTTTCAAATAGTAATCGATTAAAATTATGCTATTTAATTTAGATTGAAATCTAGTTTTTACAATTAAAAGATGTGTTTCAATTGATCGTAGTCCTTTATGATCAATTCATATAGTTTGATCGATTTAGATTGGTTTTTTTTTAAATCGATTAAGCAAGATTAAATTCAAATGAAACCTATCTTCGATATTGAAAAATTAGATTTTTATGATCTTCAACTAGTACCATTTTAATCAAGGTTTTAGTTGAAGAAAAAAATCGATTTAAATTAGATTTTTTGTGTTTCGTTACATGGGAAATTTTCCTTGAAAACATAAGTAAAATTTAGATCGAGCGATACATTTCGAGCCTTGCTTTATATTCAGTTAGAAATATCAATGAGGAAATGACTTTTCATAAATGTAATGAAAACATAGTTGCTTTTAGACATTAATCTGAATGTGTAAGCTATTAACATAAAAATCTGTTATGTTTTATTATTATAACCCATTTTCGAGCATATACTGAAGACTTCTTTAAAAGAAATAATGCAAAAAATTGTTCAAGAAAGTTAAAAACGTCAAGAATTTTACAGGATACGCATTGTGGGATTTGTAACATCTACTATTGTCATCTTCAGTAGAAACTAGTTTGATATGAGGATATTTTCATCTTCGTATTAATATAATTAGTTCATGAGGGTAAATATACTATAAACAAATAGAAAAAAAGAATTCCATGATGTGTTATGAATTAATAAGTATATCAATATTCAGCTTTTTCATCATCGAAATCTTTCTCTCTTGTGTTCATCTTACGAACCAAATACTTTAATATTTGATTGTTCAATGATAAGAATATTGTAGATAAAAATAAAATGATTTTTTTATAATTAACATATACTAGTGCTATTTGTACTCAACAAAGAATATAATTATTGTTTTTTTTTCTTATCATAATTACCTGTCCAAAGTCACTTATCACATTTTTATTAATTACTGAATCGCATGTTCATGTATATACATTAGTCAAGAATAATCTCAGCATACGGGATGATTTAATAATGCTTTTCACTGTTGTATTAATTCATAATGGTCGGTTAATTTGAATCTCAAGGACGAAATAATCTGTTTAACTTCATATATGGTTCCTTGAACCATAGATAGTGTATAGGTATTTGTACTGTATGACAATATGCCCATTTAAACAATAGTTACACATTGTGATCGAGGCCATAGTTACTATAAAGTAACTATATTACAAATAGACAAGCCAGCAGGTACAAGTGAATTCTCGTTTCTATACCTTCTTTTTATAATCTAGAGAATAGTTGAGAACACTTTTTATCATCAAGTGATCTTCGGAAATACTAAATGTCTCTTCAGGATTTATCACATATATATTTGCTATTATATAGTATTAAAGAATTGAAAAAAAAATATGTAGATTCCACATTTCAGTTATAAATAGCTCTAATGACAAATTTTCTAGCGTCAGTTAAGACAAACATTAATTAAAATAATTACTTTTTTTTCTCAATTATGTAACATTTTCAGTTTTCAATATCTTAAAGGCATTTTATTCATAGACCACGTAGACGAATTTCTTCTCTATTCAACTGTTTAATTATTTTTCACACATTCCAAGGTATTATATAGTGACAATGGACTTTTAGAGAACTTGATCAGAATTTCCTACTTACTCCAGCTAAGGTATAAACGTCCTCGTACTGGTTTTAGTTTGATTCAGAAGAAAACATGTATAAGCGTTCTATTTGTTAATTTATGAAAAATTCTCACGATTAGAAAACTAAATCGAAATCTTAGTTTTCGACAAATTCTTTTCGGAGAGTAATAATAAAGCAACTTGTATACATTTATTCCAAGTGAGTTAATGTTTAATCTCAGCTGAATCTGCTGGAATCCGTAAAATAAAATATATATGAAATCAGAATAATGCTTCCAGATAATTTTGTTCCAGACAATATTCCATGCTTCAAACTCAACAAGAGTAGGATTATGCGTTTATTCTAAGTGAGAAAATGGATAATAATGATGAAGATCTCTGAAAATTTGCCATCGCTGTGTTATGCCAGCAGATTGTGAAGAAATTAATTGTATAGATAAATAAAGGTTAAATTTCACTAGACGATTTGTTAAGAAAGTGTTTTTAGACAATTGAAAACTCAAAAAGACATATACCTTACAAAAAAATAATATACTGATCTTAAAAATTAATTATTTATCAGTTATAACATTTCTTAGATTTCTTCTTACATAGGATAGAACTTTATGTGACACATTCTTTGATTAGAATGTGTTTGCAGGTTGTTCCAAGCATTGATGAAATCCCACATGGTGTTTTTTCATGATAAAGTGAGTTTCAAATATTAAAGACTAGTTATAATTAAATACTCAGAAAATATCTACAAACAAAACTAATATTAGATCGATGAACATGACTTCCCTTTTTTTTTCTATGAATAACACGAACGTTTATTTACAGAAACAGCTAATTATCTACTATTCTTCATTCATTTCAAGCTAAGCTTTAATATTTATTCAATGAGTAGTTCAGTTAGACAGATCTTCAAATTTTATACGTTTCCATCGTCTGAGAACAATTAGATAACTGTCATATCTTCTTTTACATATTACATAAAATGAATGCTGTTTTTTTATTTCATTAAAAGAAAAATATATAGAGTTATGCAACTGTAATATTTCTTTTAATTCGACAATAACAACACGAACAGTTACGATAATACAATATCGATTTGAATACATTAGTTTTTATTGTTGCTAGATAAATCAATGGATTTAGAATCATTGAAATCTTGGCAGTAAATGCACATATTGTCATCAATATTGATTGTTGACTAATATACTGTACATTAAATAAATACAATAGGGCCACAATAGCATATGGTGTCCAACTAAGTAAATATTCACTTACTAAAAATATTGTTGCTAAAGCAAAACGTTGATCAGCTTTTAAACGATTTAATCGCATAAGATAATTCATTTGAAAAGCATGTGTCGCTGAAGAAATACCTAATCGAGAACTTACGTTTGCTGAATTCGCTGCTATAACAAAACCAAGTTTTTCACATTTAGTTGCTGAACTACTAGTTGATGATGAAGTACATGAAGTTGATTGATGTTTTTGATAAGATACATTTACAAAAAGATTGGACTGTAATATTCTTGTTGCACCATAAAGTAAAGATCGAATTTTACAGTAAACATATATATTAATAACTAATAATACAACTAATGGAATGAAGTAAATGAATGCAAAGGCTAATATAAAATATATACGTGAACTAAGTGATCGATCAAACCAATTTAGTCCACAATGAAAACCAATTCCTTCAGGTGTATATTTATTCCAATTAAATAATGGTGGTAATGCAAAAATAAGACCAAATAACCAACAAACTATAACTGTCCAATATGAATGTTGACCAATAAAACGATTTTGTATATTGGTTTCAAAAACTGTAGCATAACGAATAACTGATATCATCATTAGCGTAAACATATGAACGCAACCATTTAAATAAGAAACAAAACCTTCTAATTGACAATAAAATGGTGAACACAATCGATGGCAAGTTAAACATTGAGTAAACACTGATGGCATTATCACAATGACTTCTGACATTGATGATATAACTATTGATAATACTAACGAATAATGGCGAAATCGAAGATGTCGATGATATGATGACCAATAAATGAAACGAATGTTGAATGTTATGGAAATCATCGATACAAGTATTATAATTGTTCCTATTATACGACTAATCGAGCATTCAACATTATTTACTTGACGAAATAAAGTGCTAACACATAGTGTCAGATTTGAAGTCATTATCTAAAAAATGGCAGTAAATATAAAATGGATCTGTTAATATTTATAGAAGAATTTTCTTCTGGAAAGAATGACACAATCTCCATCTGTTAGTTCTTTTTCTTAAAATAATATAATAAGCGTCAGAAAAATGTTATTATCAACTAAATACACTTACCTACTTAATTGGTCAATTGAAAAAGTTGCATGCACTCATATAGATGATTGATAAAGAAAGGAAATGAGATAACTATAATATGTCATGAATTTCTACTACGTAAGAGACGTGATGTTCAGGTAAACAAAAAGATCATTTCTATGAAAAATGTCCCTTATGAGTTCTAAATCTATGGTTGCTTGACTCGTATTAATTTCTTCCTAACAATAAATAATTTGGTCAGAGCGTATAATGAAAGTCAAAGTAATGTTTCCATGAATAAGCCTATAATACTTTTAATATAAAATACAATCTGTTCTTTCCTTTAAGGAATTATACAGGAAACTAATGATGTCTTCGATAGCTAAATTTGTTGCCCTTTATCTATAATTTGTTCTTTTTCTCAACTAATAATTATTTTTTTGCCATTTCTATACGTTTTCCCACCGAACTGATTTAAAAGCATGATGATATTTTCTAATCGCTCTTGTTTCCTAATATACAACGTTGTATTTGGTTCTATTTCGAGTTCGTATTTCACTCTAATCTTATGCATTTCAGTAAAGTGTACTTTAACACTTTTTGCATGAAACTCTGTCATGTTTCATATTGATACTCTACGCATCGCATACCCAAACCCAAAAAACGACTCAAAATTAGATTAAAATTGATTATTTTCGGATTAATAATCTATTATAATGGCACTATTTTAATCTGATTAAAATCAGATTTTTCAACATTAAAAGAAAAAATGACTTTGATTTCAATCTTTTTTAATCTATTTTAATTGATTAAAAAAATTTAGCAATCAGTTTTAATAGATTAAATTTTTTTTAATCGATCAAAATAGATTAAAAAAGATTAAAATCAAAATCATTTTTTCTTTTAACGCTGAAAAATCGGATTTTAATCAGATTAAAATAGTGCCATTATAATAGATTATAATTTGATTTTTAGGCGTCTTTTTTTACGTGGATAATCAGCATGAGTTTTGTGAAGAATTCTATGTTTAGAAAGTTATGAATCTAAAATTCTAGTAATACGGGGAAGAGGGATGATCAACGTTCAAAAAGATGTTTTGAAGTCCACTAAAGGTAATATCAACTCATTTTTGAGCTTTTTCTATGCAAAAAAAAAATATTTTGGAAGTGAGAGATGATTACGTTGAGTACTCTTTTCGACACAATTGGATGTATTTATCATCGATGCCAATATATAATGAGCTCATAATTTGATAAGTTATAATACATAGTAAATCGAAAGCGTTGTTGTCACGAACTCACTTGCATCGAGAAAAACAGTAAGAGTTCATCTTATTCTAATCCTATAACAAAATAAAAAAGAACTCTTCATGTAGATTATGAGAAAAAAAACTCATTCTCTCTATTTTTACCTTCGTTCTTTCTACAATGGAAGTAATTTCTTCAGAAGACTTAATTATTTAGCAAAGTTATTTTAAATCGTATGATATTAAATTTGAGATGATAAATTCGTCCATCTCTATCTAGAACTAATTTCTATTCTGAATGTAATTTTATTACAGTTTTTATCTTGTATACTATTTGACTTTTCTTTTTTTTTTTCTCTAGAGAATAAAGTATATTTATAACATACCTAAGTGGTCTCGATGATACTATTTTTTAATAAAAACACGAAAAATCTAATTCTTACCCGTTGCTATAATCAAATTAATTGATAATTTGTGTTGTTTTTTCTCATAGTTTTATATATCAAAGAAAGTCTTAAAGTAAAATGATCTGTTTTTTTTCATCGCGAGAGGTTATTATGTATTACTGAGGAAATAGAGAAGTGTATTAAAAAGAAAAAAAATCTACTGTTTCATTCTCTCTGAAAAAAAGCTAATAAATGACAGAATGAATTATCTAAGTACCCAATAAAAAGCTATGACGAAGTTATCATCATGTCAGAAAACATGTGTCATCAACCGTGAACTGCACCATTGTTAATACTACTTTATGTCACGTAATTTAATCAAGACAATGGCCTATTGCCTTTATTTGACCTAAAGATTGTCTGTTTACTTTTCAACTAAGAAAAGAGACCATAAAGATATTTAGAGATATTTATATTCTTTTTTTACACAAGAATGAAAAATTGAATCGAAAGTATCAGCATATGTAAGATATACGCGGATATTTTTATGTTGAATTTTTCCGAATATAAGTTGATGATACAAGTAATATTAATTATTTTTGACAATTTATAATCAAAGAAACCATTGTCTATTCTAGGGGAACAGATTGCATTCACAAAAAAAACAAAAGATGTTAATAAATGATACGAAACATCGTCTCAAAACGTCGTGACTCATCGTAGAATTTTTCTGTGAACTTATGATAATTAAATCTTATGCAACTGACATGACATTTTTCATCGTTTGAATTTTCAAGAATAATTTTTATTCAAGTCTATTTCATTCTAATCAAAAGATTTTTCATATGTCTTTACTATTTCTTTTTTTCTGGGTACTAAATAATTCAACTAGCTTACGAATTGTAAAGGTCTGTCATTTCAAATAAATCTTATTCATAAATCATCATTCATGTGACATAAGACTTAATGTTGTATGTTAATAGTTGATTTTTCTTTATGTGCGCAATACTCTTATACATATTGCTGACATGTAAATATTTTTGCATGAAAGTACTTAGAAGAAAATAAAAATACCATGGAAGAAACTTCACTAGTTAATTGTTGATAATTTATTAAAATTCTTCAGATGTTTGCAGATAACGTTCAATAATACATAAGACTTTTCACTTTAATTAAAATAGAACTATAATCCAGAAGAATGGTTAAGTATCCTTAGCATTATTCTTGCTTTCATTCTCTGAAGCAGTTTTAGGTAATTGTCCTTTGCAGACAATTGGGTGCATATTCGAACAAAAAAAAGAACTTGAATAATATAAATTATTAATAATATATTATCATATGATAGACATTAAACATCACACATCAATTCGTGTTTTATAACAAAACGATACAGAAAAAACAAAACAGATTCTAGATGAATAATAGATAAGATTTGTAATTTTACCTGATGACACCATAATCCATTCAATCATCTATATGCTAAAAAAATTGTGCTTTTATTTACAATAAAAATATCTATAAAATCTCTCAAAGTACATATAAAGAATTAAAAGTGTATTATGTTTCAAAATAACAAGATAATAAAGAATATATCTAAAGATATGTTCTATTAATATATTCATTTATACTTGAAACCATTTACATCACAATGTTTTCTCATCCTTGAATTTCTAAGCGTTGAATCATTCCTTTTGCTTTCTCTATTAGTTTCTGTACCAATAGAAATTTTTCTCTTGAATTTTTTGTGATCATTGGTACATAATAAGATACTAGATCACATCATTCTTATACATTATAGAATACATTTAATCGATAGTAAATAAGAGATTATTAGTTTGGCCTTTTTTATAAATATTCAAAAATTGATCAACATAAATGAATCAAATATGCTTTCAACTTCGTACTATTTCAACTTTATGTTTAGAAAAATTCTTAATAAACAATTATTGTATATTTTGAAAAAGAGTCATCCTCAATGATACTTGTGTAATTCATTAAAAAACACGCCAGATTCCTGCTAATGTTCTTGAAAGATCGAGTTTTCATTTAGGTAACGTGAGATGTTGAAGATGTTCAGAGTGACAAAGAAATCGAAGTGTTATTGAATACTTACCCACTGAAACGATATGTTCATTCCATATTATTACAATTGTGAGCTAGATCTTCATGTGACGATAGCATCAGTCCTAAAGCATGGTCAAAATAATTCAACTTTTGAATATATTCATCCGTATCAGTAAGAAGTGAACTGAAAAATCTATTGAAATTTGTCTTTTTTTTTTCATTTGTTGATCTGATTATAATTTTTCATGTTTTCGATTAATATGAATTATTTCAGAAGAATTTTTTATTGATATATGCCAAAAATAATGTCTACAATCATAATTAACTGAAGTCGATCAAATATCATTCTCATATTCAAATAAAAATTTCATTTTCATGAGAAAACAAAACACTTTGAATAATTATATCAGCTAGAACTTAATTTGATGATTAAGTCTAATTAATATGAATCTCCAATAAAGCAGATTATTGCTCATTATCTCGACTTTGTCTTGATGACATGCTTTTCTATCAACTAAATTTACAAAATAATTGAGCTATTTATAAGTTATAGAACGAAGAAAGGAGTCCTTTTTCTTGCAATAAAATGTCAAACAAAATATTTTTTTTACTTGATCCCAATGCAAAGTTGAACGTCAATAAATACAAAATGTATTTTCAGAATAAGTACACAAATCAATGATGAAAAGAATTCAATGGGTATAAAGTGACAATATTTTCAGTACATAAAACTTCATTTATTAAGCGAAATTCAAAGATCTAAGACTATAAAAATGGTTCGAATTTTCTACGTAAATCTCGAAAATCTTTTTCTTTTTAATCAAGCCTATTGAAAATATCTTCAACTTGTTGAGCTATTTGATCCTCATTATTAGAAATTATTTGTTGAATTTCGATCTTCATAATATATTTTTCTACTAAAACACTGACTATTTTTTAATGATTAAAATACGATGTATTTAGTATGATGATATTTCCTTATATTTGACACAAAATATTTAAGACACACTGATTTTGTTGGAGAACATCAGGTTTTTACCAATAAGTAAATGAAGACACTTGATCAATGACACGTTTCTATTTGTTTTCGATAACACGAGATCAAAACAAATTAGAACAAAAACTCACGACCCGGAATGAAATGTTCATTAGAAACATCTTCAGTGTACCTATCATCACGAAAATATTTCATTTGTTTCAATATAAAATCAAGGCTTGATATGACGTATATTCAATATAGAAGAATTTTATATGCAACACAATTTTGAAAATTCATAATTGTTATTCTGGAAGTTACTTTTAATTTTTGTAATTTATTATAAATTTGGGAAGAACGCTATGTGTAAGAAGTGTGTTTAATCATTACTGTAACATTAAACTTCTCATCAAATTGATAGTCAAGTTGTTGTATTTGTCAGACCGCCTACAATCTCATGTATTAAAACGATTAATATAAACCTTGCTCTATTTTTGATCTAAAATAAAGTAGAATTATATTTTAAGTTGTTTAATATGACCTATTTTCTATTATTATTTTCAATCAGGTTTCCACTTAGATCTTATTAATATAATGAAGGGAAATAATTATCGCCACATAAGACCCGCATGGAATAAAAACAATATTCTTACTGAATCTTACGTATTTTAGAATATCGGTGATAAATTATTGTATACACGAGAAGCTTGTATTTTTGTTTAATTTTACAGAAATGGTAAAGGATGATAGTGACTTTGACCACTAAATTAGTTATATGTGAAATGAGCCCGAAAAAACAAGACAATTGGGTCTCAAATGAGAAAAAGTAAATAAAACAATAATGAGTAGATAACATATCTTAAATGAATGAACATTGTATCGCCTATGCATACAGCTGTTAAACTCTGATAAGCTTAATCAATTTCTATTTAATCTCTTGATAATTTGAAAATAATGGTATACAAAGGAGTAGTTTTTCTCATATAAAGGATGTAGGTGTGGCTATCGATGCCTCCCATAAGGACACTTGCATATCACATCCACACTCCATATCTATTTATTGATGTTGCTGCTTTTTATGTTAATTTAAAATCTAAGAAGTGGGTTCTCAAATGTCTTAATTTGTGATTCTGAACACGTCTTTTTTCAATAACAAAATAAATTTTTATTTGTATTTTTGATTTTGTCAATCAACTAAAAATCTATGTGCATTCCTAATCAAATTTCTACATGAAATGAGTGACACTCGAAAATGAATTAAAAAAAACTTGATTTCTGTAATTCACTAAAAAACATTTTTCCTTTTGAACTCTATAAAAACATTTAACCTATAATAAATGATTTTCATACTCGTCAATTATTAATTAACTATTAAGTTTTAAATTCAAAAAAAAACATTTATCGGTAAGAACTCTAAATTTGCTTCTATTTATTTTGAATATTTTTTTGTTAATGGAAAACAAACTTAAATATATTGGTTATCATTTAGATAAAACTTGATTTGCTATTAGTAATTAATTTCAAAATAGGCGTATACAAAATAAATTCTAGATTAAGATAAATAATAATAGAAAAATTAACGAGTACTCATCCAATGGAAAAGAGAACCGTTAATTGAAAATCTAAAAATGTTATCGTAATAATATACGAAAAAAAAAACGTCAGATAATGAAGAAGTAAAACCTTGCGAAATATTGTCACTATACTTAACAAGTAATGCATCGCTGAAGCTATCTATCGAATTGTCTTGACTGTAATGATCCGCATTAATGTTGTTCAATCAAATAGAAGATCATAATTCTTTGTTTCGTATTAATCAAAAATACATATTGATAATGAACTAGAAAATAGATTTCATGTTGTCCATTGTACATCACAAATTCATATAGAGATTTCATTATACTTCATAATTTTTTTTTCTTAATAAACATTTGCAAGAACACAGCATATGATAGAAAGACAAAAATGTCGAGATTTTTTAATTAAAATCTTTAAATTATTATATAATAGTAAGAATAAATCGGCAATTGGTTATACATAGTGCCATTTTACTTTTTTGTGAAGTAATATTTTTTTATTTTTTACAAGTGAAATATCAAAATCAAATCAAACTATTGAATAAAATCTCTACGATGGTTTAATTGAACTTTTTAAATATTACTGTTATTAAAAGTTTCAATTGGCTAGTGAACTATTGGAAAAGAATGTTTTAAATCTTCATCTAGTCTTGAATATTAATTTATTCCATGAGTAATTATATTCAATTTTAAAATAACAACTAAACTTAGATTATTTTGTATAATCTAAGTTAGTGTTTCTATTATACATTTTTTTATTGTAGTGCGTAATTTTTTAATTCTTGTAAATATTATTTTTACTCCAATAATGATATTATATTCTACAAAACAAAAACTAATAATAGACTAAATATTACTGTTTGTATTCACAAATGAATACAAAAATCGATCAAATATCATGTGGACTTGATTTCGTGTTTGAATGACTTATTAATCTCGCTAGAATAAAATTCTATAAACTAAACATGAATTGATGAATACTTATTACTTCTGACAAATATCAAAGCAACAACTAAAAAATTAGAAATATGAATGAATAACAATTTGTACATAAATATTGTACTAAGCGTTAAAAAATAAATTTCTGTATTTTAATTTTCTTTCAAATATTATAGTGATATTATATATATTTATGCATATAACGAGAATACTGTTGGTTTCTGTGCTATTTGTGTTACTTAAAATTTAATAGAAAGAATAACTGCTCTGTTTTATTATCCTTTGTAAAAGTATTAAACATCTGTCAATGAATGACATTTTAGATTTGTCTACTTATCAATTGTATCTCATCAACAAATTTAAAGCCTTTGTAGTAAAGTCATTTCTGTCATAATGGATGCAGTGAAAGAACATTTTAATATTTGTTTAATAACTTTCCTTTATCTTAAATAGAGAATTTAATCTACGGAGCATGCTATACCTGGAGTTATTATTATTATGATTCAAGGATCTGACGAATCTTTATTTCCCGTTTATGACTGATGTAAACAAACATGGACAACTGAATCTAAATGCTTATGCTAATAAGTTCCTAAGTTTACGTATAACAGAAAAAACAGTAAAGGAATATTTACATTTAATTGGTCATGATTTCAGTTTTTATCTAGAAATTATTAGAATCAAAGTTCAATCGCTATGCTTGCTTTTAGTGAATAGAGAAAGTCACTGACAGATAATTTCATTGATTCCAAAAACACAATAAATCTGAACCGATATTGAACTGAGTTCTGTCATAACTAAGTTTGATTTTTTTATTTACAATTTTTATTTTAACTCTAAATTGAATAAAAATTTACTTCATAAATTAACAATAGTGGATGAAAAATCCACTTATTTTGTATTTATATGAAATATTTTTAAATATCTTTGAAAATTTTATAGATGATATATTATGCTTCGATTTGACAAACAGAGAAGAACAACAACACAATTAAATCTTAGAATAAATGGAAATAAGAAAAAAAGCAATTTTTTCATCTTTGAATATTCATTTTCTTCGTTCAATTTACAACGAAGATAAAAAACAAGAGAACGAAGTTTATTGATTGTCCATGAATGAAACCAAAAACAATCTATCGAATTTATTTAATTTGTGATTTCGCATGATACAAATTACGAATCACAATCAATTAATAAATAACATTGAGGTATCACACAATAATTCAGTAATTGAGAAAGATAGACTCATCTAAGAATACCATGTATGTTAGGAAACAAAATTCCCGCGAGCCGGAATTAAATCAATGATCAAAGGATTACTACCATTAACCTGCCTATAGTTCTCTGCTCTTCTGCTCAGCCATCACGGATTTATATAAATTCAATAATAAAACTGAACTTATCCATAAGCAAGATACATCCTTATACATTTTAATTAACAGAAGATCATTTTATTTTTCACTATAAAAAATTTCTAAAACCAACTATGATCAAACAAACATCTTGAATAAAAAGTCAGCAGAGTTTCTTATCGATGATTAACTACAGGTTGAATTCTATTAATCCGAACGATATATAATTGACGAAAATATAATCTTAATTGATGATTAAATAAAAAAAGATCAATCATATTTCCAAGCAAACTTAATGCTGGTAAAATAGAAAGAAGTCGATATATAATTGGCGATAGTTTACCATCAAAATCAATACATATAAGTATATAAATAGGTGACCAACCACTTAGAAATACAACAAATATAAGAATCATATGTTTGAGAAGACGAACATCTCGGTTATTCATAATAACTGTTCGTAATGTTGTACTAGCTTGAATACGTCTTGATGATTGACGAGCATAAATAAATATGAGAATATTAATTGATGCAAAAATAACCGTGGGTAATATCAGAACTATTATTTGAATATAAAGTTCAAGAAAAAATGTTGTACCGAACATCTTAATACATATCTTAAAAAAAATATTCAAATATAATTATTATATATCGTTTTCAATTCACTAACCTCTCTATTAGATGATATTAAAAGTGGTACTGATACAAATGAAGTAATTAACCATGTTATTCCAATACATACTAATGCCCATCGTGGTGATTTAAATAAAATTCTATTAGAATACTTAATAATACACAAACGATTAATTGCCACTGTACATAAAGAATAGATCACTAAACTATTGAGAATTGTTTCAATAGAACTAACAATTGAACATCGTTCTTGACTTATAATATAATATGCTGCATCATAATATAAATTTAACATATATACTATGATCCAAAAGACGGCTGAGCCAATAAATGCTAAACATACATGAACTGTCATCATATTAATTGGTGAATGAAAACGAGATAAAAAACATAGAGGTACTGCATAAACACAAGCAAAAATGATAAGTAAAATAAATAGAATAAGTTTTATGAAAATCAAAGTTTTCAATACAACTTCTTGGTTATTGAACATTTTGTGATTATTCAAAGAATAATTAATGATGGGCATTTGTCTTTATAACGTGTGTTGTCACTCGACTCATTGTATTTAATAAAATGAAGATTTTGATAAGTTTACGAAGGACAATATTTAATCTGACAGACGAATAAAAAAACTATTTATAATAACATGCAAGGTTAAAGTATAATCAAACAATCAATGATCAAACTGACATTACTATTTTTTGATTTTTTTTTTGATAAACAATTGTGTTTTCTTTCCGACGGTGTATAAAGAATCTCATCATTGATCAAGTTTTATTCTACAATCATCATGAGGTTGGTTTTATTTTATTTTAGTCTCGCAATAACAATAGATTAGTCGGAGATATTTCAATATGATTTAAATTAAGAAATGTTTGGGATATGAGTGGTAAGTTACAAGATCATTCCATTTTGAGCTAAATTTAAATATTGGTTTTTTTTACAGAAAATGATTGTTAAGGATAGAAATCCTAAAGTAATCTTGAAATCATCTAAAGCTTTCCACTGTATCGATAGATATTTATTCTTTTACTTAAATTATATCAGTTCAATGAGCATTTATGCTGTTTGTAAATTGTTTATTCATTTTTATATTTATTGTAATATGTACAACAGTAATAGAAAATAAATCATCAAACAATTCAAATTTGATATTTTCAGATAAGTCTTTCATGCTTAATTATGTCTGTCAAATAAGCTTTTGTATTCTCTTTACGTGTATATGTTGAAGTGCATAGATGACCTTATATTAATATCCAAAAGAAAAAGTTGCCATGCTCCTGCCTTTCGTTATATCATTTTAAATGTTCTCAATATTGTTCCCCGTTTAGAACATAAATAGAATGAATCTCAGATATTGTACTTAACTGTCATGCAAGGAAAGTTAACAGTTGAATGCATGATATTTTTGATTGCGCATGAATATTATTACCGTCAATTCATCACTGTCGACAGTAAATCTTTCATGAAAAATAAAAGCATCATATATCCACGCAAAAGAATTAACAAATATTAAGAAACGAACGTTAATAAATGGCGTGACCAATCGTTTTAGAATTTAATCTTTTGACATTGTAACCTCGATTTCTTGTCTATAGCCAAAGCAAGTTCTTTGAAATGTTTATTATAGACGGAGACCATTTAGATATACTATCAGTAATAATTTCATTGTTTTTTCTTTAGTTTGATCTGACCTATTCAGAATATATGCTGGTCATTGTAGAATTTCAAAACAATGGAACTTCTTTTTTAGCAGAGCTGAGAGTTTAATCTTTAACTCTGAAACGAGGCAATTAATTGTATCGAATAATAAACTAAAAATAGTGTTCGTTACGAAATTTCATTAAAAATAAAAATGATATTTAAAGGCATTATCTCGGTTCGTTGAAATCTAGCATTTGTACGAAGAATTGTATATGGAAAGAGTACTGTGCATCTGATCAATTAGAAACTAATTGAAAATTTTTTGTCACATGATCGGTCCTTTTTTGACAATATATTCCACTACTATATTTCATAGAAACCTTCAAGTTGCTTACTCTAAGAAAGATCTCTCGTGTTCAGAGCAGCAATGCTATTCATGAATAGAAACGCTTCTATTTCAAATACTATCAATTGTTCTCTTTTCAATGATAGATCCCGGTTTCTTCACTCTCACGGTCGAATCCTCACTAAATATGGGTAACCAATAGATGACCATGCAGCAAATTAGACAAGAATACTAATTAAAAGGAAATTATTTGTACAGTAAATAATTTCTTGCCAAATATAATAATGAAAACTGTTTCCTTTTTCATAAATAAAAAAAGAATTTGTTTTGTTTTTTAATTTTATTTTAATATAGACTTTTTTTTTCTTATACAAAGTCAATAATTTAAAATTATTGAATAATTGTTGGTCCAATTGTTATTGATAAAGCATTAATTTTTATTGCTATTTCATTTTGTAGTTATTTTTTAATTTTAATTGTACTTTTTTTATGAAAATTTGTCATTAAAATATATGTTACTACTGAATAAGACTGAACACTTATTGTATTAACAATAATCATTGCTGATCTAGTTGATGGTGAAAATTCATGTGAATTAATAATTCAAGCTCAATTATAAAATGTTGATGGATAATAATATAAACAGGACCAAATAATATATAATGCCATTCGTATAAATATTCGATAAAATATATTTCCATCTCTAGAATGATTTAAATTAATTCTTTGTCTATATAGATGTATTACAGGTATAATTATTGAACTAAACATAATTAATTCAGGTATGATAAAACTAATTGTTAACCGTATAAGCATATATTGTAAATATATTGTATGACAAGGAGTACATGGAATATAACCACATTTAGGAATAAATATAGTTAACATTGCCATTGAATATCAATAGATAATAAGACAAATCATAGGTATGATTTGTCGACGTCATGAAAGAAGTCCATTTTTACGAAATATTAATGAATGTCATTCTAAACTAGCATAAGCTAAACATGTAACCATACCTATATTAATTGACAATGCATTTACACTATAATATTGACAAAGATGACTAGAATAGTCAAATAAATGTAAATAATATCCCATTAAAAACACGGGCACATTTATAAATGATGATATAAGACAATATATTGACATATAATGAAACTAAAATTAAATTATGTTGACAAAAAAATTTTTTTTTGTAAAAGTAAACATAAACTTACAATATAAGTAAAATAAGTACGAAGACTTGGTTTTCGAAAATAACGATATATAGAAATGATTGAAAAAAATGTTCCAATAATAATACATATTGATGATATTGTAGCCAATCCTGGACCAAGTGCATATATTGTTGGTATTGTTGAATCGTCTGTGATATTAATTAATGAATTATTTGTATTGTTCAACACATATTTTAGAGTAAGTTTTTCACTCATTTTCAGACAAATATTAGAAATTACACAATTAAATATATATATTTTCGAAATAGAATTAATAAATCTGTTAAATGTCAAGAAGGACAGCACTGATCTAATGAAAATGTCTGTCTTTTATCAATGTTAAATGTTCATTTAGTTTATTAACATTTAATGTTTGAAAACTTTTAGTTATTAATATTTTTCTTAAAATACTTACAACTTAACTCTATACAAAATTATATGTTGGAAGAGTATTTGTTTATCTAATGTTTGTTTGGATAATGAAATGTAGAAAACTCAAAAAAAAAAGATATTTTGATTTTCTTGACAACAAAACATTAAAGACTTGACAATATTCAGAATGTGAATCAGAGTTAGGTGTAGAACAGCTTTTTCTGTCGTGCAGGACAGAACAAGCTATTAAACAGAAGACAAAAATATTTATTTTTATTTTCAGTCACTAAAGTACAAATCAATTTGCAATTATGATGTGGGTGAAGTTGCGGATGCTTGATGGTGTGAGGTCCAGGGTGAGAGAACACTGTCACACCCGTCTACACCCTTGTTCTCCGTGACACGACATATCCGCGCGCGACATTTTCGCGTCGGCATCTCCACGCCGACACTTCCGCGCAGCGACATTTCCGCGCTCAACACCACCGCTCAAGATGAAGTTTTCTGTTTTTTTGCTTCAGGTTAATGCATCTTCTAAACTTCCATTAATAGATTTGTGAGTCTGGACTCCAACGCGGAGTGTGTATGGGTGCGCGGTGTGCGTAGAATAAGTCGATAAAAGTTTGACACTGGTGAACTGCTTGTAAAAATGATCTGATCTGATCGTTTTAGACAGTGCAGCTCAGATGAAATGAACTGTTCAATGAGTTCTTCCAACCATAGGTGCGCTGCTCAAACAGTTCTGACCGATCGATATCTGATTGAGGAAGTCATCTGATGGACCTCGCGTGTTCCGAAAGATAGATTGTTTTTTATGGAAAACTAGGATGCTTACATTGGCACCTGAGATGCTAAAGGCGTCATTTGAACTGCTACAGACATCATGCGGGATGCTGGTTGTATTATCTGGAATGCTAGGAGCATCACTAGGATGCTGGAAGCCTTACCTGGGTTACTATAGACATAACCTCGGATACCAAAGGTATCACTTGGGTTGTACGCAGCGTTGTAAATGATACCTCTTGCTTTCCATGTGACGTTTCTAGCATCAGATGTAATATAACCAGCATTCCACATGATGCGCTTGGCAGCCTAGGTGATATCTCTAGCATCCTAGTGATGCTTCCATCATCCTAGGTAAGATCTATATAAACTCAGGCGATGTCTCAAGCATTCCAGTGATGCTACTAGCACCTCATGTAATGCTACTGGCGGATGCTTCTGGCATTCCAGGTATCGGTGCAGCTATGGATGTAGACTCGAGCTGTGAAGTGTGCCTATGGCTTGGTATGGGTGTGAGTTCATATGTGGATCTGGCGGTCGGATGTGGTTTCTGGAGTGAATTTGAATGTTGGGATGTGGTTGTTGGCATTAGGGTCCGAGTTGCCTTCGTTCTATTCCGACAGTCACACCGAAACTCTGCAGTCGCACCAACAGAACAGTTAATAAAATTATAGAAGATATATTAAATTAACACAGAAAATACAGAAAACTTCATGTAGCGCGGAAGTAACGCGCGTGGTGGTGTCGCTGCGCGAAAGTGTCGTGTGCCGAAGCGTCGTGTGCGGAACTGTCGCGCGCGAAAATGCCGGCGCGGAAACGTCGTGTAATCCTTGTTCTCAACACATGTCATTTATCACTGATAAAAGTACATATTATGCAAGAATTAAAAAACAATTAGGTCAAATACAACACTAGCTTTGCTGTTCTGTCTGATGTTTACCTCTCGTTTGAATATTACTTAAATCATAAAGTAATTAAAACAAATCGGTTCCAACAATTCTTGAATGTTATCCAGATCATGAAATTTTGCGTCAAGCAGCCATAACGAACTTGTAGGATTTCATAACGGTTTCATGTTTTATTCTGCTGAATTGATTCAAATAAGTGTAACAAGAATTTCACAATCACTGAGAGTTTAACACTACATGTCCACCAGTTTTCTACTTTATAAAAAAAACTACATCCTGCAGTTTTTTACATGATTATTGTCAATTAAAACGGGTATTTATCAGAGACACATGATTGTATAGATATTCGTATAAGAAATATCTTTCGAAATAAAAACAAAAGTCAATAAATAACATATTAAGAAACATAGGCGAAATTTACAACGTATTAATCTCTGGCTTTTTTCGATTAAAATGATTTTTTTCTTTGTGAATACTTTAAATGTATGCAAAAGCAAGCAAAACATCAAAACGATGTGGATGTCAACAGTATTCTTTTTAAGCATTTTTAAAACATATTTATATCTATTGAAGAATTATTGGAGAAGATTCACATGTAGTAATATGTTTGAATGGACAAAGTCAATATACAATAGATATGAATAATGAATACCAAAAAAAGAAAACAAAGATTATATTGACGAAAGTAACAAATAACATGTAAAATTGAGAAACCTGTTCGAACAACAAAACATATAGATGAAATTACAGGTGAAGTTAATTAGATAGATATTTTATAGAATACATAAACTTTTGTGTAAAATCCGTCGCTGTAATCTTATTGATTATTATTAAGAAAAAATCAACCATTGACGTCTTAGTTCTGAGTAGAGTCCTGCACGGGTACTACTTTTCGCACCCGGACCCGGCCCGGCTCAGTTTTTTCAAACCCGGAGTCCGACCGGACCCGGTCATCTTCCACCCGGAACCGAACCGGACCTGGATAGCTCTACCCGGTACCCGACCGGACCCGGCCCAGCCTTGAAATAGTCAGCACTTGATTGTTATTGTCAAAATTATATTCACTTTTCAAACTTTTATTTCATATGGCAAAATATACTATTATGTTAATTTCATCAAGTAACAATTTGTACCCGGACCACAGTTCCGGGTCCGATCGGGTGCCGGGTATTCGGCCCCGTTGCAGGACTCTATCCTAGAGTGTAAAATACTTTTACTTGTTAAGATGTCATCGACTACCGGTCGGGTACCGGGTATGCTCAAATTCTGCACCCGACCCGGCATTTTTTTTTATACCCGGCACCCGAACCGACCCGGCAAATTTGTACCCGGACCACAGTTTCGGGTCCGGTCGGGTGCCGGGTACCCGACCCCGTTGCAGGACTCTAGTTCTGAGTTGAAAAAAATTTTCTTCTTTTATCTATACAATTAGTACCAATAATAGAAAAATTTATAAAGTTTTCTTACAAATCGGTAAAAAAACGAATGAATCTGCGTCACATCAAAATAAGGACATGGTTATTAATTGATTACTCCTGTAGAATATAAAAATAAAGCAATGTTATTATAATAATTGATAGTTATGATTAAAAAAATATTTCAATATACTGAAAATTTTATCTCATATTTCTTACAAGTCAATCTGGTTGTTGAAATAGTTTTAAACAAATTTTATTTTATCAAGTTTCAACATGCTGTTTATACCGATTTTCGTTTATTCTAAAATGATTTTATTTATTAATGAGAGGAATATATATTAAAGAAAACATTTAACAAACAAGTTTATTAGTTTTAATTTTATCTCCTTTTTCGACAAATGTTCAGCAATCGTTAGAACTCATTGTCACTAAATATTGATTACTATGAATGCATGTTGACCGTATTTTTTATCTAGTTTCTATACTGTTTCATTATGTAAAACACCGCCAAACAATTTTCAGCATTTATTTCTTAACAATATATGCTCAACATTTACCTTTTTGTAACAACTTCATCAACCAGATCCAGTACATTTGTTGATACAAATGACATTTCAGTTGTTGTCTTTATATTTTCTGAATATATAACCCATAAAAACAATAATAGGATTAAGAAATATATTTAATCGCATCATTAAAGATTATTACTAGAATGAAATAAAGAGTGAAATAGTTGAGTGATTTTTTTTTCGATGAACAATTCATTGTTATTAAATCAATAAAATGATGATCAAAGACTATACATTCTTTGCTTATATCTATAAAAAAATTGAAAGAATTAAAGAAAACAAATCATTAGTCAGAATACATCTGACTGAATAAAATAGAAAACGAATTATTAAAATTCGAATTCTTCAGGAAAAAATTGTACGTTCTGTCCAATATTTAAGAAGAAGCATAGAGTTGCTTAGTACAATCTCATTGAAACTGAAATATGTAACCCACATACATTTTCGTATATTAAATATTGTCTCACTATTATTAGTGCACATAGTAGTACCTTAATTTTACATTCTTTTCTTTGCTTGCTAGTGTCTTTGATCTTAACATTTTCAACCAATATTGTTCGATATGTAAATCTTTTGTGTTTATCTGCATAAATACAAGTGATAGCAGTATTAATATGATTAATTCACGTCTACAGTTTCTATGAAAACTTACTCCATGACTTTCAACTCCAGTTATTAAGCTCTGTCATAAAGAGAGCTAGTTGTTGCGTCGCAAAACTTCGATTAAAAACTTAAACTCACTATTTTCTTCGAAAACTTATGTAACTTTCATAAAACTTCATGAAACAGTGATAAATATCTATGTATTCGAGACATATTGTTTTCTCAAACAGATACTAATAGCGGATTGAATTCACAAATATGATAACTAATTCAACAATGGTTTTCTGATGTTTCATATTCGATTATATTCTATGTTCTAGTTCAATTTAAGTCAAACATACGATATGAATCAGTAAAGATATTATCGATTCATAAGAATAGACATATTTATTATTTATTAATGTTAATTCAAGCAGAAAGATTGATTTCAGTTAGTTCAATTATTTTGATGAAAAAGAAACATGATGAATACGAGGAAATGTACCTAAAAAATTTACGAAAATAAGTCAAGTTTATTTAAACAATCCTTACGTTGAATTTTAGTTGATTCACACTCTTTGTCCATATCTTGGGGTAATTTCGCTTGATATAATTGAATAAACGTATCCAATGGACACATTGCATTAAAACATTCTGAAGAATATATCAATATTCGACATAAAAACATGAAGAAAAAAAAACATTCTTCATATAACTTTTACCTGGCAGTGTCATAATATGTGTACTTCGACTATTTGTTATATTTAAATATTCAAGTTGAATAGCATATGAATTATCATCTAGATAAATAATATTGATTGATTCTCGTTAGAATGAAATATACAAACCTTGTTGATAAAGATCAAAAAATAATCCACTAGCAAATGGTGGTTGATGAACATAATTAACACCAAGATAAGCAAGAATAGCAGAAATTGTAACATCATGCTAAGTAAAGAAAAAGAAACTGATAATTTAACAATTATTTTTAGTCGTTAAAATACTCCAAAATAAATTTTAGCTTTTCGTCCATTAGCATTATTTGATATTAAATTTTCAATATTTTGTAAAATTTCACGTAATAATGGTCCTATATATTTTTCATTAAATAAAATAGAAAAATAAAAAAATTAGTAACATACCACCACGTAATCGATTAATTTCAGATGAATAAAAAAGATGATAAAAACATAGATCTGATACTTGACGTAGTTGTCGAAGAATCGGTGGAGTAACCCATGCCGGTGTTACATTATAAATAGCCTATGAAATATTAATTCTATTTCTTTGTTTTTATTCTTTAAAAACATATTTCATCCATTAATACTTCGATAAGTGTTGTATCTGCAACATCCCATGCAATAAATATATCAGATATAGATTGATTTGTATGTTTTTCAAGATATTGAAAAAGATCCTGAAACAGAAAAATAAATTTTATCTAAAAAAGAACTATTTCAATTCACTCGATATTCATTATTCAGACGTTGAATTCTAGGACTTTTTCTTAATTCTTCAACTAAATCGCCATATCGATCACAAGAGCTAACAGTCAAGAGCTAAAAGAAATAATCTCAATTAATTTTACAACACAAAGAAAAAAATAATAAATAACAAACATGATCCATAGGTTTTGGAATAGTATGTACAGGAATAGGTTGCCAAGGTAATGTTTCTGGCCAAACATTTGATTGGACCATATTTTCTGGTAATTGAAAGTTTTTTGACGAAGGATAAAGTCCAACAAGATTTGAATAAGCTGACATAAGTGTTCGATCATAATCCGAACTTCGAACAGTAATCTAAATAAATTTTAGCAAATCAAATTAAAAATAATATATTTAAACTTTATACTTCAGATGCTACATAAGTAGAATTAATTAGACTTGAATAACGTTCTCGAATATATTGTCCTAAAGAAACTTGTTGTAATCTTCCTCGAACAGTCAATTGCTCAAGACCATTTGGCCAAATATGAGGATCATTAGGATTTGTTGGATATAGATAACTAGGTGTTCGTTCACCATGACGAACTAACTATATCATTTATTAAATAAAATAAAAATAAAATTATCTTACATCAATAATTATCTATTTACTATATTAGTGCCAATCAGTTTTCTAGCATCATTGTATCCATTGAATAAAAATAATATAAGAACGATTGAGTATAACATTTTTTTAATGATTATGATAAAGACAAAACAATCTCTAAAGGATTATCTATGTGCATTGACAAAGGATTTTTTTTTGAAATGCGATTAAATATATAGAGACAAGATTTTAAAAAAGTGACATTTGAACAGAACTATTTCGATTAAAAGGTCTTACAAATTAAAGCTTTCTCTTTGATAGATTATATTTATATTTGAATTTGAATAGCATGCTTACATTAATCATCAAGTACTAAGAAGAAAAAGTAATAGATCAACTTTGAAAATATTTATTTAGTCTTGGAAGAAATGTTATTTATAGAGGATATTAAAAAATCAATACGAACAAAATTATGATTGATGATAAGATATTATTCTCTTTATTTGAAATTATGAAACTTTTCTAGGATTCTATTTTGTACCAGATGTACATGGTACACAAGGAACATTGCTTATTGGCGGCACTTTATCTTTTAGGAAACATCCACTTTCTTTGCCTGGAGCTCCATTTCGAATAAATGTCCATGCTCGACATTTGTCACCTTCCATTTGACATATAGCACAGCAAGTCGGATGATTTTGAACATTTAATAAACGAACATAATTATCACCTGGTCGATCAACACCTAATTCAAATATGCCACCGGGATATGCACATCGACCACTAATTATCAAAGATGTTTGTTTAAAACCACTTGTACAATATTGTTGACAATTTGAAGCTTGATTTATAGGTGGAATATTTTGTTTAAGATAACAACCAGGTGCAATAGTAGCACCTGTACGAACAAATACCCATGATTGACATCTTGCACCTTCATCATTACATAGATTACAACATGCATCAGCCGATGATATGGTTTGAATATAAGCATACCATGGTCCAGGACGATCAATACCATTTTCAAAATTTGAACAAGTTTGAAGACAAACTATTTTAGTTGAGAAAGTTAGAATGAAAATAAAATAGATCCACATATTGTTGTCGTTTCAGTATAGAAGAAATATTTTAATAAAATAAAAATCTCAAAAAGAAGCAGGGTTTTTTTATATATTGGTAACTAATAATATTTACTCGTGGCTTCAATTTATCATGGCTGATTTTGTAGACATAGAAATAAAGCGACATGAAAAAAAGGGGATTGTATAGATCGAACTGTCAATATTCTTAAGTAAAAGACTTGTGCTGAAAATCGATTTGACTTTTATGCAGATCTAGTTGGAAATATTGTTGTAAATCATTAAATCAAATGTTATTCATATAAGACTGAATAATCAAGATAATTAAAAACAATTTTATATATCAAAATCTGTACATTGAATATTCATTTAATTATCAAAGTTGCAAGTAATTATACGTTTTTCTTTTTTGTGGTTGATTTTTATGTAGTAATACTCTTTTTTCCAGGATAGATGTTTTATAAACTAAGAATGTAGATTTACACAAAGAGAAAATCATCTTCTGTTAAACTTTTTATCATAGCTCGACTGTTTTAACATCGTCAAATAACTAGTTTGTTTCCATCAACACATAGAAGGAGAAAAAAAACGACAGTGAGAGTAGAACGAAAAATTAAAGTTTTTCTTATCGTTCTTATTTTTTTTGGTACGTTGACGTTTTCTTTTTCGAACATATGATCAAATCTTGGAAGATTTTCTTGTCGAAATATCTTTATTTTTCATTCTCCATTGTTGTTTTTCTTTCACGTAATGATATGTTCCATGTTTCCGATTGATTAAATTTCGCTTCTTTGCATCACATATCAAATGTCTTTTTCTTATTGGTTCACGTGTTTTTTAAGAAAATATTATTAAAAAAATTTCCTATAAAAGTCGATGTTGACAAGGGTGAATATAAATATAAATTTGGTATATTCGTTAATAATGTATAGGTTGATAAAACAACAAACTTCATTTGAGATTTCGTTACTCACTCACAAGAGACGGATATTATGGTGTGATTTCAAATATACTGAAGCATAGTGATTTACTCGTCATAGCTGGTGTTAAAATGGTTAATTTCTAAAATATATATACGATCGTTTTTTTTCTCAAGACACTAACCTATTAATAATCAATATGCAGCTCTGATTCTTCTTTAATATATGATTTAATTATTTCATACCTTTTCTTTTCTATTTTTCAATAAATCTCAAAACATTTATTGATAATAATGTATGAATTTTTTTAAAAGTATCTGAAGTTTTGTTTGAAGTTTCATTAATATGTGAACGATATTATCACTACACTCGGTTAGATAGTTCAAGATTTCATTTTAATCAATTGAAATGTATTGAAATTATTATCTAATCACTGCAGACGTCTGTTATGATGGACAGGAAATATTATTAATTGCTTTCATAATTGTTAGCTAAACAAGAATTTATATTGAAAATTTTCATACACCTTTCGCTGCTAACATGAAGTCGTATTTCTATTATCACAGGTGAAATGTTCGTTAGTTTCCAGAATTATCTTTCTCACTGTAAAAAAAAACAGATATTTTTCAGTTTCATCATTAGTTGAAATTTATTTTTATTCTAAAAATACGATACTGCAACAATTTACAATAAAATATGAAGTTTTATTTAATAATTACCGATGAATGGGTAATGGTATGACAAGAAACCTGCATGTGATGTCTTATTAATTAAAGATTTACTGTTTTTATCGATATCATAATTCTAGAATCTCCTATAGTGTTTTATTTTTCTGTACACAAAAAAACATGCATGAAAACATTTGCATGTTATGTCAATATTCATTTCAAAATAGTTTACTACAAACGCATTTTAAAAACTGCTATACAGGTTTTCATAACATGACATCATGGTATGCATAAATAATTCGAAAATTATTCGATGACAGATAAACTATATTTAACATGGGTTCCATGAATTTCAGCCCACGGAATTTTCGGCCCAGTCCGAAATTCCGGTGATTTTTCGGGTCGGGCCGAAATATCTGGTGGACTTTCGGCCCATGATCCTCATTGACCCTACAATAAAAAATCTAATTTTTCAAAATTAGTTGCTAGACAACGTAGTACTGAGCAAGACGTCATAGTGATCAACGATATGTCGTAGTGCTGAGCAGGACGTCATAGTGCTGAGCGATATGGCGTGGTGCTGAGCAAGACGTCATAGGGTTGAGTGGTATGGCATAGTGCTGAGTAGTATGACGTAGTGCTGAGCAGAGGGTATGAGGTGTGAATGTCTCTTCCTTCAACACCCACACTACCCGCACACCTCACCCACAGTCACACCCATACCTACGCCGTAATGCTGAAGATTATGACGCTCTGCTCAGCACTGCACCATACTATTCAGCACTATGACGTTCTGCCCAGCATTACGTCATATGGCTGAGCACTATGGCGTCCTGCTCAGCACTACGATGTCTAGCAACTAATTTTAAAAAACTAAGTTTTTTATTTTAGGATCAATGAGGTCATGGGCCGAAATTCCTTGTGAACTTTCGGTCCGGTCCAAAAAATCACTGAAGCTAAGAACCGGGCCGAAAATTCCGTGGGCCGAAATTCTGGTCTTCCGAACTGAACTTACACGGGTTACACAAAGGAATTAAAAAAGTGGTATCTTCATAGCTTTTCACAAATCATCATGTATAATCATTTATGTATAAAACTATTTGCAAATATTCGTATCCGTTCACAAAGATAACATGCAATATCATTCATTTTATTAAGATGCTACAGAAAAATACGAGCTGTCATATTGCCAATGGAGGAAAAGTAAAATGAGAGCAGTTCACATTCTGTCCATACATTACCTCCAATAGATGATACTCTATAAGTGGGATTGGTTTCATAAATTTTATTATAAACAGATAATTTCTTATACAGTCATACTTCTGGTATAACATTCAGTTTCTCATCTGATATTTTTAAAGTTGCATAGGATATTTTATTATAGAATCATTGCAATATTTAAAGTGGCATTTTATATCGTCAATTTTTTAGCAAAACTGCAGTTACCCGTAAGTTTTTCAACGGTTATTGTTACACAAGAAAACATGTCCATTACAGAATTTTATTAGACTCTTTCTTAATTTATGTATCTGAGATAAAACAATTGTATGCGAAAATAAATATAATTTTTTCAAATGATTTTTTTACTGTGCAAAAATAAATATTCATAAATATTTTGATATTAAAGTTAATAAATAGAAATCACAAAAGTCTTTTAAAATGATACAATAAAATTATTATTATTAATAAAGTAGTGTTTTTTTTTCATATATTTTCTGTTGTATTTTATTTGTTTTTTTCCTTTCTAATATGAAGTCTATTATTGGTGTAGCACATAGCTAAAAATAAATAAACATGTAAGGAACAAAATATGTGTTTTCGACCTTTGTCGTCAAGAAATAATAAGAACGTAAAAGAAACGTATATACGGTCAATGGGTAAAAAGAATTCAACGTGATAAAAATACACATTTCTAATATACGAAGAGAGATAAATTATTTGTGCCTTCAGTAAAAAAAATAAAGCACGATGTCATCTACGCATTTGTACAATTGAAAAACGTAGGTAGATTGAATAATTATCGAACGAAAAAAGATAACAAGACAGAGTTAATTAACTGTGTTGAGAAGAAATTTTTCATAGAGAAAATAGTTTCTATTATAGTAATTTTCTCCAAAAAAGTGATTGGTCTTTCTGCAAAATTTTTCTGAAAGTCTACATGTAGAGTAGTGCATAGAGCTAACACAAATTAATTATTGATTTATGATTATTTTGAATTGATAGCTGAGACTGTTCAAGACAATCAAAACCAAAACAGAGAATTATCGACGGAACTCTATAAAAAAAAGCATTGTACGTCGCTGGTGAAAAGCAAAATTCTCCAAGATGAACAAATGTCGTCTCAGGTACCGATATTTAATTATATATCTTTCGTTCAAATAGTTGGATGAAACTAAAATTTTTATCACTCACTATCTTTGAACATATTACTATCATCTGTACTATTTAGTTTTATTCGTTGCATTTGACAAAGAATAATCGCATTTTGATCTATTTACTCGATAACGAAAACATTCACTGCTTTCTGATGGTACTATAGAATACAAATAAAATGTTGAGAAAAGAATAAAACAATACTTACGGAATCTAATATATAAATCTTTTATGATATTTTATCTCTTGTAAACGAATACGAAAGTTAATGGTAGAAGAACTTCGAAAAAATTTTTTTCTCGTGTAATTGAATAATGATCATTTAGAACCATAGGAATTGAGATCCTAATCATAGCCATATGGTTGAAGCCCATTATTATTGTAATTTAGCGGTATCCAGTTGATCTCGCGAGCTAATATAGAATGAAACCTACACCAGAGTGGTGCTCCATATATCGCTATATTACAATGAATAATGGACTTTGGCCATACGGCTGATATTAGGATTCTAGTTCCTATCATTCGAGATGATCACTATTCGATTACACGGATAATTTTTTATTCAAAAATCCTCTATTCTTTTATTCAAAGTTCTACGGAGGTCGAAAATTCTTTCTGTTTTTTCGAGGAGACTGTCTATGTCATTCTATCCACGATGAAGTTTTGATTTCAATGAGGTGAGAATTTTCATCCATGAATTGTATTTAAAAATGCTCGAGATTAGTTTCTTCCAACATATTTGCAGGATTACAGAACGTGTTTTCTACTTTTTGGGTCAAGCAAAAACTTTTATCCAATGTTTTTTTAAGTTTTTCAGAGAATCAAAAGCTACAGAATATATTAAAAACTCAGCTTGCGTTCTCTTTATTTAAAAAAATGGCAGTAGATGTACTGTCGAAAATCAATCCTCATAAACTCATAAATTATGTCAGCTTCCACCCTTATTGGACCATATAACCTTAATAATTAGATAATATATAATATTTTATATAATTCATTTTCTTCAGTTGCTGATAAGCATATCTTTGGGTGTATTGTATTAAACAATTCTATGGCT